TTGCCTGTTTCTGCCTCCTATGTGCTGGAATTAAAGGTGTGTGCTACCACACCCAACTACTCTTTCTTTTTTTAAAGTACTTTATCCTTTTTCTTTTCTCTCCCAAGTCTACATATATTTTTAAACACACTGTAAACCATTTAGAGGTTTCTTTTTTATCTGAATGTATCTTTACTGTATATCTCTCTTTTTCTGACCATGAGTCTAATTTGCTAAGTGATATGGCTAGGATTAAAGCCATGGCTTTGATGTCTAGATCCACACCATTCCTTAGCTTTCTGAAAGTCTTCACCTTTCATGGCAAAGGTACTGGTGGGAGCCATGTTTATTGCCACAGCTCTATGAAGTTTCAAGATTCCTGCCACCATCAAGAAGTATGCTGTTGGTGATTCATAAACACCATTTAAGTGTTTGGTGGCAGGATTCATAAAAGAGCTGTAAGGTTTTAGCAGCTAAAGCTGCATCATGAAGCCTATCTTAAATGAGATGCACTTGCCTCTAACAGAGACCACCCAAAGAAATGTTGCTAACGAGAAGCTATGCTGAACTCTTTTTTTAGTATCTAGAATTATTTCCCACGTTCTCTCAAGTTTTATGTGGGTGTAGTTGCCCACATTGGTGCCATTTGTTGGTAGAGACTGCTATGAAGTCTCAGTAAGAGACAGGCTGATGCAGCAGAGAGGCCAGAGCCTCCCTTTCGGGAGAATAAAGGACAGACCCAGGGTTAAGATACCACAGGGTGGGGCTGGAGAGATGGCTCAGAGGTTAAGAGCATTGCCTGCTCTTCCAAAGGTCCTGAGTTCAATTCCCAGCAACCACATGGTGGCTCACAACCATCTGTAATGAGGTCTGGTGCCCTCTTCTGGCCTGCAGGCATACACACAGACAGAATATTGTATACATAATAAATAAATAAATATAAAAAAAAAAAAAAAGATACCACAGGGTGTCTCTGGGCAAAATTCGGAGCCTTCTTTTCTTATCTCCCCCATCTCACTTATCCACCTCACCTGACAGAAGCACAGATGCTCTTATGGTTGGGAAAAACAATCTCCTGAATATTAGTTCCCGGATATGACCACTCCAGGGCACTACTTCACACTAGGAAGTGGATAAACCCTGGGAAGGGAAAGGAGCCATGAAGGTAGAGAAGTGTGAGCTAAGTTGCTCTTCATTACTGACTGTGCACATGGTGGATGAGTCAGAGGCTCTGTTCTTGGATCTCCTCTGCTAAGGAAAAATGAGAACTAAAGACTTCATATCTCAAGCTGCTTGCTGTTAGAGACCCAGAACTGATGTGTGCAGCTTAGAGTTAAATATACATAACCCTTCTCCATGTGATCTGGACAATAACTGAGCAATCTGATCATCTTCAAGAGACAGAAGCCCATCTTTTCACAGTGAACATCAGTCTAAAGAGAGTTACATCCAAATGAGAGGAGAAAGGGAGAACTTGGGAAGGAGAGGAGTTGACTGCTCTGCACAAAGTCAGCACTCAGAGCAACAAACAGACAGACTCCAAACTGTCCCCTGCAGCTCCACCCTGGACACCACACCTGAAAACCAGCCACTGGCTGTAGCCCTTGAACTTCTTTGCTCTTGGTTTACTGAACTTCTTTTTATTTTTTCTTAAAACCTTTATTTTTATTAGATTGATTCATCTTAACTATTTTTATTAATCATTTTATCTGTGTGTTTTGCCTGCGTTTATGTATGTGTACCACATGTGCAAAATACACAAGAGGTCACAAGAGAATATTGGATTATCTGGAATTGGAGTTATGGGCTACAGGGTGCAGAAATTGACTGGATCCTTCTCCGGAGCAGTAATTTCTCTTAACCACTTAGCCATCTCTCCAACCCTGGTGTTCAGCTTCTCAAAAGTCTCTTCCAATTCACTTGCTGATTTGGGAGTAAAAGGAGGAAAATTTCCCAGAAGCCAGGAACCCAGGGTGCTGTTCAGACTCACAGCCTTCCTTGTCAGCACACAGGGACTCTAATTAGGAACAGAAAGTTTCAGCCTCAGCAAATGGCAGGTCACCAGGGAGTGCACAGAGCTGGCACCCAGAATGGCTGTGCATAAGGAGCCCTTTTCCCCTAGAGAAGTCAAACTGCTGTCCTAACGGCAGTGACAGTTTCTGAGAACACGTGGCTTAAGAACGATAAACAGGGCCTGGCTGTACAGAACACCCAGCCTGAGCCCTGCACAGACTCCACAGGTAAGTGTTCCATCAAGTCACAGTGGACTGAAGCTGCCTTTCACCTAGACAGAGGGGCTGTGAGGTAGGAATGGGGACGGAAGGTGGTTGAAGAGAAGGGTCTGGGATCCTCTGTCACTGTGAGAAAGAAAGGAGACAGGATCCAGGGAGAAAGCAAGTTCTCATTCCCAGCTGCAGTGCAGAATTGTTTCCATGTCCATGAGGGAGCCTTGTGCAGCTGCACGGGGGGCACTGGCCAGAGATGCTTGTGACAGCCCAGGCAGGTAGAGCAGACATGGGCTGAGATTTCAGCTTGAGTGTGAGGAAGTATTTTCTCTCCTCAGTTTTTTCAGTCTCTGTGTTTTCCTCACAGGAGAAAAAGGTTCTACTGTACAGTATCTTGGGTCTGGTGCTCTCTTGCCTCTCAGAACGGGGAAGAGGGCTTTGCCCTTCTTTGTTCTGGTTTTATTTTTCCTAAAGTTTTGCTGTCCAGACTCAAAACATAAGACAGTGTGACAGTGCAGAGAATCATGGGGGAATCTGACATGACACAAAATCACATACAATGCATTAGAGCATGGTTAACACTGGGTACGCACTGTCCTAAGTACTGTGTGCCTTGGCTCGATTGAATCTTCACAACACTCATAAATGGTACCAAGCACCATCCCTACATTAGTGATTATTATGGGGCAAAACAAAATGTTCAAAATCAGGCACAGAGCAGTTAGGAAAGGTGAGGTTTGACAGATGGGATAACTGGTCCCAAAAGTTGAGCTTGTCGACTTTGCAATTTATCCTTCTCTAGTTTACAGATTTCTCTCTCATGCCGCTGGGTCTTGCATTGGTCCCTAGAGTCCATGACCCATTTCTGAAAGAAAACCCTGACTTGATTAGTTTCACACAGGTTGCTCTTTGCTATTTCTTACATGCTGGAGGAGTGATGGTTGAGAAGCATATTAAATATGTACATGAAGATGTATATAAATATATTTCCAATCACTCTCAGTGTGTGTGTGTGTGTGTGTGTGTGTGTGTGTGTGTGTGTATGTGTGTGTGTGTGCGTGTTTGAGAGAGAGAGAGAGAGAGAGACTGTGTGTAGCTTTTCCAACTAAGTTCTGACAGTGTTGGAGATGAAAGACAATTTCATGTTTGTAAAATTTGCTATTGGCATCTCAGAGAGCACATAGGTACATCTGAAATGCTATCAAATTATAAACATATCAGTACAGAAGAATTTTGAGAGAAAATAAAGCATTGTTGGTAAGTTCTTAAAGGATAAGCCTTGCGCATCACTAAATTGTCTGAAGCCTGAAAGCTCACATCATTACACAAGTGAGGAAGTGTTAAACACTTACCAAATGTATAATCCAAACTGAACTGACTTCTCAAAGATACTCAGCTTTATCAATCTTTATGAAAAGCCCAACTCAAATGCTTCTCAAAATTGCTTTGTCAATTTGTCTCCATGATTAAAGAGCAGTTTAAAAATCAACACTTGCATTGAGAAACCTTTAAACTTTCCAGCCGGCATTATGTTAACACTTACAAACTACAAACTACACACAGAACCAATGTCTCCGAGACTGCTCAGTGCCCAGTACAGGAAGCAAGAACATACACAGGCTGCACAGCCTTCTGAGGTCAGGGAAAACATAAGACATGAGATACTAAGCAGGGAACCATGAGGCATGGGAATGGGCAAGGCTCAGCTGTGGATACAGCCCATGGACCTGTGGAAAGGTAAGTAAGTGCCAATGCTAACATTCGCTTGGGAGGGATTCAAAGGGATTTAGAAGTGATTTTGATGTAGATCAGACTTCAAATTGTAGAGGACAGATAGAAATTAAGGTTGTCATGTGAAGCTCTTTGTGTTCTGTGAAGCGTGAAACAAGTGGAGTAAGTTTCTACTTCAAAGGCTCATTTTGACTTCAATGTAGAAACTAAAGAACAGGGGGAAAGAGATACCATACATAAAATGATGGCAATCACAGTGTGAGATAGCAGGGAGGACTCGCAGGCTGGGGGATTTCTGACTGAGAGCATCACTAGACAGAACCAACCTTAAAACAATCAGCAAGACAGACCTTTGTTAAGACTCCACAGGAACAGTTTTCCTGGTGTTATACTGGGGAAGAGATCCCAGTGGAAAGAGTAACAACAGGATGAAGTAGAGTAAACAGGAAATCACGATCAATATGATTCTACCCACGACGATTGGGAACACAATCTTTAATCACATTTAGTTCCACATAGAAGACAGTAATCTAGATGTCCATGCCTTCACTATGTCACTAACCTCTGTCTAATTTATGATCAAAGGGCTTGGGAAGAGAATACCATCTTCCCTAAGAACCTAGACCATTGACTAAGAACAACTTTCTGAGAAGCTGAAAGTCTTTTATTAGTTTCACAACCTTTTGAGTGATGGTTGCGTATGGGGCAGTGAAGAGGATCAGGATGAGGCACCAAAACTGTCCAGGAGCCTGAGGTCCCACTGGGTGTGATGAGGGAAAAGGAAGGAGGCTGTCAGGCTAATACTAAGAACTGTATTGCTTAGAAAACTGGCAGAGTGCTGACGTGCATTTAGCTTTTGTATGGGGAGAGTATAGTCATATGACTATGGATGAAGAATGAAGGAGACAAAGAAGGGTCTTTGTGAAATGCATGAAAACTAAAGTTTATGCCTGCATTGTAACTAGCACCACTTCTGTGGGAATGGTAATTAGACAAACTGGGAAAATAAGGAATATGATCAAGCATCATCATGGAAAGAACCATATGTGTTTGCATCATTGATACCATTATTTGTATCAGAATAAACAGAGAAAATCTTACACATGTTTCTCAATTAATTTTCCCTAGTGCTGTACATGAAGTCAGAGGATGAAGTGGAATAACATTATCCACACGATAATCTTCCTTTCTCTTGCTGGACCTGGAATTGTGGGGAATATCCTAATGTTTGTGAGACTTGTGTACACTTCCACCTTGGGGACAGAGAAAAAACCTGTGGACCTTATCCTCATCCACTTGGCATTTTCTAATATGATCATTATTTGTACTACAGGGATCAAAAATATAGCCACAGTGTTTTATTTCAGAAACTTCCTCGGAGATATTGGCTGTAAAGCTGTGGTTTATCTGGCAAGGATGGCACGCGGTCTCTCCATCTGTACCACCTGTCTCCTCAGTGTGGTCCAGGCTGTCACCATCAATCCCAGGACCACCCTTTGGACAAAGCTAAAACCACAGACCTCATGGCAAGTTCTTCAATTTCTCCTCCTCTTCTGGATAGTTAATGTTCTCATAAGCTCCAACTTACTCTGCTACATCAAAGCAGGCAGTGACTTGAACATGTCTCTACCTAGAACATACATTGGCCATTGCTATATGCTGTCATCAAGACATATAATCAAGTGGCTTTTCCTCTCCCTCATGACGGTTCGTGATGTCATTTTTCAGAGTCTGATGGGCTGGAGCAGCGGGTCCATGGCTCTCCGTCTGTATGAGCATCACAAGCGCGTCCTCTACCTTCACAGCTCCAGGTGTGCACACAATTCCCCTCCAGAAATCAGAGCTACCTGGAGCGTTCTCATTCTAATGACCTGCTTCCTTTTCTTCTACTGGGTAGATTTCATTCTCTCCTTCTACATTGGTTACACAGTTACACATGATTCTATTTCACTAAATATTAAGACATTTTTAGAACTTGGTTACGCTGGTTTTAGTCCCTATGTTCTGATCAGCAGATACAGCCATGTTCCTAATATCCTGCACGCTCACTGAGAAGTGTAGAAACTGCATTCTACACATATTCATATGAGCTAAAGGTTTGTACACTGTAAGCTGCTTTGCCATGATAAATTTTAGAAGTGCAGACAATGTTTGCTATATAACATAGGCTGACCTGGCAGTCTGTATATGGCGCAGGCTCACCTTGAGATGTCTCGGAATCCCACATGCTTGTATTACAGCATTTGCCTCCAAACTGCCATTTGCCTAAACGTTCTAATGTATCACATTAAGTTAAATTTTTTAATAATGTATTTTCTTTCTTTAAAATGTCTAGCATTGCACAATCTTAAGACTAGTTCAGGGTTTCTAGGCAAGTAGAAAACAGATTCTTACCATCTCCCTATTCCTCTGTCATGCAATGGTTTGCTTCTCATTTGCCCTGGGAGGAATGATGGAGGTAAGGCTGCTGCCAGAAATTAGTATCTCACTTTTGTCCAAAGCCAGAGAAGGAAAACAAAATAGGTTAAGTGGAGGTGAGGAGAAGGACCTTATCTGAGGTGAGCTCCTCCTGCAGAGTGAAGACCACAGTGTGACAGGCAAGGTCACCACAGCACAGTAAATTTGGTTTCCGATTGTTTGACACGGCTAGGCTCCAAAATGCCTCCCAGTACAGTATCAACACTGCTGGCCAATTATAGCTGAGTTAAAACTTAGTGTATCACTGCAAGACACTCTGGGAAATGGGCTTTCTCAAATGCTGCCTTGCTCCAGTCCAGAGCTTCATGGGCACATTGATGTGTTAAAACCTCGATGATAGGTTGTTAACATTGGCATTTCCACCTCTCACTCCCAGTCCCTCACTATGGCCTACACTGTACATCCTAGTGTTTGCTTGGTCTCCTTGGCCCCTGAATCTGAGACTCCATTTTCACTGATACTGCACAGACACAGCCTATTGATTTGAAAACCAGGAGACCAACGTGCTGAAGGTTCAGAGGTAATCCAATTGGGGGAACCAGTTGGCATGGCAAAGAGAACCCAAAGAATCCAGAAAACATCCCGATCCTGGGTCTTCAATGCACTGCAGTGTACATCCCAAAGAGGCTCCTGTCTGCTGTGTGAGTGTCATTCCTGAAGGGGTGGATGCGGGACCACGAAGCACTGCTCACCAAAGCTGTTCATCAGCTCCCTCCCTTCGAGGACAGATAGAAAGACCCAAAGTATTTACAGGGAGTGGGCTTGAACCGCTCCCAGTGTAGCTTAGCACTGTGCCTGGAGGAGAGCCAGTGCAGTCACACTCCTTCCTGGGTACAAGAGTTGAAAGTCTCCAGAGTAAAGCAAGAGGTAGGACAGACAGTGGGTCTCTGAAATACTGCCCTTTGCTAAAATAAGCTAAATTCTTAATGTTTTGATAAAAAAGGATCAAAGGCCACTATTGTGGTCAGTTTCTATGTCAACTTGTCACAAATCAGAATCTTCTGAGTAGGGAGCCCCAGCAAAAAGAGAAAAAAAAAAAAAACTTCAGTCTTGATTGATGTGGGAAGCCCCACCCCAATTGTGGGTGGTTCCTAACTGTAACTGCCCACATTCAAAGAATGTGTCAGAGGGAAGATCCTCCTTACTTGCACTTGCCCAGTCTTCGTTTTTGCCTGTGAGTTGATTTGCTCTGTTGCTGCTGCTGGGGCTGATTCCTTTGCTGAGAGCAGAACCAGCAGCTGTCTAGGAAACTTCCAAACTTCTGGGGTCAGAGTGGGACTACTGTCCCGTGGTCTCATTGCCAATTATGGACCAAGTGAGACACAGCTATGGGGAGAGACAGCTATGGGGAGAGACAGCTATGGGGAGAGACAGCTGTGGGGAGAGAGACAGCTGTGGGGAGAGAGACAGCTGTGGGGAGAGACAGCTGTGGGGAGAGACAGCTGTGG